CAGGCAGTCGAAAAATCTCAAAGTGCCGTGCTTGTGTTTGAAACTTGTCGAACGATATTATTTCGGTCTTTATTGCATTTCCCCTGTTGTATTAATTGAAATTACAGTTGTTCCGACGATTTTTAAAGAAAAAAATCGACTGACGTTTAGACACTCCGTTTTTAAAATCATAATTTTAACACTTGCTTTCCTTGAGATTTTGTTTTATCTTATCATTTTACTGTTTTTATTATTTGTCTTTTATTCCTTTTATTCCTATTTATAGATTTTTTCCCTAAATGCATTTTCAAAACTGTGAAAGTTAACTCCCTTAACGACAGCGAAAAAACGTTTACAGCTTGCGGGCGCCCAAACAATAAATTATGCAATTTCACATAAAATAGTGTTTCATTGATATCACTAATGCACTCTATTATGCATCAAAGCCTGGATTTTCATCTCCATCTGTTCCATCAAAGTATTCACATGTCGTCGTCATCACAAATAGTGCGCATGCGTCAATTAATCGGAGAATATCATGTCAACAGAGTCGGCTGTCTTGTGTGCAATAGAAGCAAAATTAAAAAAAAAAAATACCGACTTAAAAATACATCAATGCATGGTTTTGAATTTAGTAAACACTATAAACTTAAAATGAATGACAAACAGCGTCTCACATATTTCTGGAATACTTTTTTCTTGTTTTAAGTATTATTTCGCTTTTAGCACTTTTAGAGTACAAACACTAAAACTGTGAACATAAATGCTAAATTATGCTAATTCTGTTGTTTTCTATTGTTTAATTAACACTATTTTGTAGTAAATAGTGGAAAGTGTTGCACACATTTAATGGTTTGTCATTGTACTCTAGCTTGGTTACACAATATAGGTAGAGTGAACGCACTTAATCCGTGCAACTGTACAAAATCTAAAGTAGTACTAATTTGTACTAAAAGTGGACCTGAAGCAAGACGGTATTGAATGCTTCATTTGTATCAATTCAATTTAGTTTGCGTACCGCATGCTCGATTTACTAAATACAACTAAATAGAACTATTTAGTTTGTACAGTTGCACGGATTAAGTGCGATCACTCTATTATAACCCCAAAAGACCGCTTGTGTAAAAAAAATGGAATAATAACAAAGTAATACAGGGTGGTTTTATACGAATCTTGCACAAAACTGAAGTACGCACAAGAAATTCGGTTTACTTATTTTACTTTTTTTTTAAGAAAACAAAGTTTACATTTAATGGGCAAAGGTGTAAAAGTCGATCTCTCAGTTTCACACCAACGCTTTATKGTTTCATAGCAATCAAACATTCATTTGTCTGCGTTGTTTGTGTATCTATAATAAAGCAAATAATTAAGCAGTTGTTTTTAGATATTTAATCAAAGAAGATATAACGAATATTTTACAGTATAATGAAANTTTCGTCGTCTCCCTTTGGCCTTGTATCTCATGGTGAAAATTCGCGAAGAAGCGAAATTTCACCATATCTGATCGTGTTCCTTTACATGTCACTGATATTCCATAGATCATTTCTCAAAGTCCACATATTGAGGTAGGAACACAGCGATTTTCAGCGTATTTTGAAGACGATCAACAGCGTCCTTTTTGGTACTAGAAATCGTACAATTTGAAAACACTAACTTGACGGTGAAATGGCTGGCGAAGACGTGTGTTCCACGCGAATACTTGGCCTAATCTTGCATTTTCTTTCCATTTTATTCTCCATGTTTGGTACCAAAATAAACCTTAGAAACGTGGCTTTCAGACTGGGACTGCTTCAATTTTGGTGGTTTTTACTGGCGCCTTGCACGCACTGGTAAATAGCGCAGATAGCGGGAAATACGAACAAAAGATAGGGCAATCAAGTCTAGTGTAAACAATGTGAGACCTTTTAAATTCCTTAGAAATGTACAAGTATAAACAAAAGATCACAATATCAACTGATGATCATTGTTTAAAATACCTGAGGGAAACGTGTGTTCCAGCAAATAATATTATGTACACTTTGAACATTCCAATCGAGCACCTCACAAGGCACTAATGAACTCAAGGATCAGGGCGTGCTATCCCAGTACTCGTTTGTCGATGTTTTGAACGTTTCGATTTTAGCCCAGTATTGTATTAAGATAAAGGATCGTTGCATAAGAGTAGAAAATTTGATCTTCAAACCTCAAGGGAACTTGTAGAAAGCTCTATTTTGGTGGGAAAACCCGCTGACTCATCCCGGGCTCAAATGTCCGGAATTTCTTTAATCGATCTGTCACAGCAAACCGCGAGAGGTTTGTGTGTGTGCGTTTCGGGATCTCTTTTATGTAAAAGGCACTCAATAATGTGCGCAAGACAAGGCATCTATAGTTGTTAACCTCACAAATTAATCATAAAGTAATCAAATTAATATGATCCGCCATCTTTGAATGATCAATGATGAACGGAAACAGCTTATATGATGCTCGTTGATGACGTTCATGGTCATTTATAACGCGAATGACTTGACGTTAATTTTCGATCTTTTTCTTATGAGCATTGCCCATTAATCGATTTTAAAATGTCGTATAGAACTATGGCAAACGGAATTCTCATTTTAAATAATAAATACTTTGGAAACGAGGTGGCACTTTTTTAACTGATGCTCGTACCTCTAGATCAGTTCTTACGCATGAAATTATTATATTTATACATGTTTTACTTATMACAATTCATGGAGAAATAGAGTACTGAGCTGATAACCTAACAAAACGAATTTTTTGTGTGTTTTTAAACTTGGCTTCGATATTCTGATTGTGCATCATTTCCATTGCATTCTTTCTTGCTAAATTGGAGTTTCACAATTCAATAGTCCAGATCAAGCGTTTGAATGTGATCACCCGGCAAACAATCGCTTACATCTCCGCGATAAATGGCACTAGGACACGATCTACTTTTTCATATGCGCGATGTTTCAACACTCCAAAAATTCAAGAACAAAGTATTTTGTGATGTTTAGGAATCCATAAATTACTTTGATAAGTGGCAACCATTGATTTTATACAATTTGCAATATTATGCCATTTAGCATTGTAGTTACTGACATATGAAAGAACTATCAGAAATGCGTGTTTGTGGAAAGCTACTGACTGAATGCTATAACGAGGTTATATGGAGGAATAAGGATGCAAATATTTGCATGAATTTTTTTGCCGAGTCCTTGAATTAAAAAGTGTCCTTTTGGTGTTTTTGTGTTTTTGTGCAATTTCCAATACTTATAACGTCGAAAGAATTTGGCATTTTTATGTGAAACTTTAAGAACTTGCCTTTTGCTTTGACATCAATCATCTGAGCATGTATTTTTTTAATTCTTTTCACATCGTAAATTAACGATAACATGCTACTTATAAGTAATAGCATGGCTCTGAGGGAGATTAGGGATTAAATGTCCCCGAAGCCGAGGACAGATAAGTTGAAGACGGCCGTCGGGACTTCAACTTATCTGCCCTCGGCTTCGGGGACATTTAATCCCTAATCTCCCGAGGAAGCCATGCTATTACTTTGTAATACCATGATTTCCGAGGAAAAAATTGAAGTTGAACTTGAGCGAATTTGAATTCTTGTTTTGTTGTATGCTCCAATGTTTTCAATCAGAAGTAATATAAACATTGCAACAAACAATTAGCATGAATTGGAATGTGACACGAAAAGAATGGATACGCACTGTTCTAAGAGTATCACTCGCCGAACAACAGTACAAAATGATATTGATAATCCGACCATTGTTAGTGATTTCCCACAACGAACTTTGTTTGAAATTGCTTTTCAGTTCTATTCAATGCTGAAGTTAACGAACCTTAACTTCAA